CACCGAGCTCCAGAGAGAGAACGCCCGGGTCGAGTCGCAGGTCTTGCGCTTGCGCTCGGATATCACCGCCATGGAGAATCAGCTCAAGCAGGGAGAAAAGGTCAGTATTTGCTCAGTCGGTAGTATACCGTGTGTCGAATAATTAAATAACAAACAATTGCACATGTAAAAATAGAAACTTTGTTAATTTTAGACAAATCTTTGTGCTTTTAAGCTAATCGCTTTGGCAATTGTAAAATCCAATTTCATTTGGAAGCTAAATTATTACTCAATTCTAATACCATTCTAAGATAATATATATTATCTTAGAATGTTATATGTTGTTTAAATAACTTTTTTTCATGATATTATTTTATAGAAAATTTATTACACACACACACACACACACACACATATATATATATAAAATAATATATTAATAGTAACTAAATTAACTAATTTTTTTTATTTATAACCGTATGCTGGTATTAGTGAACTAATCGGTAGTTGATCAATCTTCCAGCAAACAAATTAAAGTTACAAAAATTTTCTTTAAATTTCCTAACTTAAAAGTACAATAAAAGCAAATAGAAGGACTCGAAGAAATAGGCACTGTTCAAAATGTGTTAAAATAACGTTAGCTTGTTTACTGAATTATTTCGCATATTAAAAAGAATTTGAGAATATTTCATTTTAAATTTTCCTAGCAGAATAATTTATCAGTTCTATGATGGATATGTACCGAGTTACGCATGAAGCGCATAATGCATCATTTGTTGTTGCTATTCACCAAATAATAAAGAAAAGAACGATAAAATCATGTGCTTTATGCATAAGTCGGAACATACTTTCTGTGATGGCTTTAGAAAGTGGCTAGTGGCTCTAGAATAATATATTTTCACAGACATCTTGCGCACCTAGACTAACAAAAGCACCCTGTCATTTCTTTTTGCAGGAAACGACAACGATAACTCAACGTAATAATAATTTGACCGAGTACTATCAGTCACTACGCGACAACATGATCACTCTGCTGGAGCAAGTGCGAATACCGAACGCCCCGGGCGGACCGCAAGAGAAAATAGGCCATGAGAACTTCGATAGTTACCTGACGAAGTTGCAGACTCTGTGCACCGCCGACGGCTACTGCGCTGACGAGAGCAATCGGCCGATTTATGAGACGGTGAAGACTGCCCTGCAGGACTTCACGGTCCTGCCGACACCCATCTGAGACCATCCTTAAAGATCGACGATCTGGTACTGAGCGTCGCTCTTGGGACTCGCGCGATTAAGCGATCTGGCGTATTCGTGACGCGGATCGCAAGTCGTTCCGCTCTCGTCCTGGATACTACGAGTGAACGGAACGGTGCGAGAGAACGGTGCCCAGTTCCCATGAAAATGTAGACACATATAAATCGACACGAGGATGCACGAAAGAAAACTGCGTCGATCGTGACTGAGCACCGCGGATCGGCCTATCGACCTAGGAGAAACCCGGCTTCGTGACGCGTGTGACTCATCCGGATATTGTGGAGAATCCGGCCGTGCGTCACATATGTATCTACGTGTGTACTTACATCGCTCGCGTGAATTTCGGACTACGTCACTTGGCGACGTCAACCTTGCGATCATTGCACATATGATCGTCGGGTGATGATTGTCAGTGAAAGTCGTCGTGGCCAGTCGAGCATGCCGACCGGCTCGTAGGCTTGCTTAGGAAACGCTATAACGGCATCTAACCACCGCACCGGTATGACGACTCCATTGGGGCAATCGAAGTAAACGGACTATGTTTACGGGGCGACGTTGGCCCCCGTAACGATATATCTTTTGTACATAACGATGTTTACGTCAAGTATCATGATTAATAGCGGCCGCTATCGCTGCTTATGTACATACACACAACGGGAGAAATTGCGTTTATATATTATTCGACAGGTTGATGGTTAAGTCGCTCTATAAATCGTGTAAAAATGATTAATTTAGCTGTATATCGGATTCTTGCCACTTAATGCTGTGTAACTGTTACCGTTTAAGCGAGGTCAGTGCGCGACTTTATGAGGATCGGTACGTCCATCAATGACGTTTCTCTTCTGATGAAAATCCAAAAATTAAAACTTATAAACCAATTTATCGACTATTTACCAGCTAGTCACTATTATTATTATTATTATCATCATCACATCATTATGATTATTATTATTACTATTACTGTAACTATTACAGCCAGATCGTTTTTAGCGACTAATTCAATCGTCATTATTGCTACCATTACTCTTACTACTGTCGATAAAATATAGTCACAAAGTATACCAACATATTTATATAATATAATCGAATCTATAAGAAAGAAAAGTGCGATGCGTGTTGTCCATAGACTGTACATAGTCACAGAGATATACAATTATTATAAGGACAAAAATCGCTGGCGATAATGAGCTGCGATTTTGGTGGGATGACGAAAGAGAGAATGAGAGGAAGAGAGAGAGAGAGAGAGAGAGAGAGAGAGAGGAAAGGAGAAAGAGAGGAAAAGAAAGAATAATGCTCACGAGGTCATATATGACCTCTTCATTAACAGCTATCAATCGTAAGTCCGATGTTCTGTCGAATTTATGCTTGTTCGAGGCAAATGATCAAGTCTCGATCGTTTCATCAAGGACACAAAGAAGGATCGAGCTTCGCGTTCCTTCATGACACGTCGCGACCAATTCGGTCGGAGGATGTTCATTCGTATGTGTTATAATTTCGGAATGTGTCACATTCTCTCCCCTGTATATTCGTGATCACCTACGACCGCATCGTGAGACACATGTACATTTGTATCGGCGCGGTTATTATTGTTTTTGTTGATATATTGTGTTTCTATTTATTTTATATGTTTGTTTTGCTGATGGAACGAGAAATGCAAGGAATTTGTAAATATCGAAAAACCGGCTCTAAATCGTAAGAGTCATCGCTTCTCGTTGGAGGTGTATGAGTGTTATTATTACTATAGAACATGCCAGAATTTTGGTTTTCGCTGGTTGACCTTTTACACTTACATGTAAATCGATCGATCGACATGCAAGAAACTTTTATTATTTTGACAATATAATGCCTGAAAACAAAATGGAAACATATAATTCAACTATGAATTTATTAAAATATAAATATAGATATAATTAAAAGGAAGAATTTGTTAATGAGACGTTTATAGATCATTATGTATCATACAATACATTGATGTATTCATTACATTTATTAACATTAATTGTACTGCCAAGAAAAACGTTCTCAATATATCATAAATGTTTAAATAATTTAATTTTAATATTCTTATTATCTCTCTTCAAATTGTAATCATATATGAATTGGGAACGAGTTGGAAAGATTGTAAATTCATAAGATATGAATCGTAAAATAGCAAACATGTCGATCGTACAATCAGTGATTTTGCCGATATGAAGTTGCATTATGTTAAAATTATATTATGTTCGCTATTATATGTATCAGATAATGTATATAAAGAGAAGGAAAAATTAATTGTTTGTCTGAGATGTAAGAAGCCGCGTGCAGAAGAAGTAAATATACTTTAACCAACCACCGTGTAGTGAGAGTAATAACAAATTACAGATAGCGATAGTCGACCGACAATTACGAATAATCTCGACGTTATAATTATTCTTGTCACTATCATTGTCATTATAATTACATTGTCACTGTCGTACTAAAATATTTCTTTTCTTATTTCGAGTTAGCGCAATTGGCATGTAAAAAAAGGAGATAAGAATGAGGGTGAAAAACAGATAATAATCAACAGTTACATTTTGACTTTGCAACAGAATACCTAATTTCAATTCTGTTGCATCGCAATTAATATTAAGTCTGCAATATTCATTATGGTACATCATGTACTAGTCTTGAGTACTATTGTTATTATTGCTATTATTATCAATATTATTTTATTATTATTATTATTATTATTACTACCAATTTATTATCACTATTATCGTTATGTTTTCGTCACTATTACGATTATGATTGTTGCCGTTAATAAAAATCTACAGGTATATAAGTTCAATAACATGCTTTAAGTAAGTATAAATGTTACTCCGATTGAATAAAGGGTATTTATCGATGAATACGAATTATTTCTCCTTTCACATTATATTTATATGAAATATTTTTAATGCCTCATAATATTCATAAGAAGCACGATATATTATATGATATATACGAGATAGAAAAAGAAGAGCTAATTTAAAAACGGAAGTGGCTATCTATCAGAGCTTTAATTTTATAACTTTGTATGCTGATATTAAATGGAAGATGATGTAAGCAAGATAGATAAATAATACGCGATCTTCTACACGATATGACATTTAGCAGGAAATAATGATATAAAAGGTGGACACATGAGAACAAGAGAACAATAAGAAGAAACTTGCCGTAGAAAAATTTCGTATTTTGTATTTGCATTTTCGATATAAAAAAAGTCTTATTTTACAAGCATCGCCATTGCATTCGACAGTGTTGCATCATAATTATATCTACACGTATGTATATGTATAATAGTATATATCACAATAAAATGGACGTGCGAACGGCTTTCGCATGAGTGTGCTGTGCGCGTGTGTGCGTATTTAAATAGACAGACACTGAGATATGGCAGAAGATCATTCTTCAGTAAATTACGCGCAGCTGAGTTTGCAACGCGCTAAATGCTCTATTACTATGATTCCTCTCCGAATCATCGTGGGACGCGAACCTCTATTCAAACGCGCATTGCGATCCCGACAGTGTCCCGGAGTGAGAAAATCTATCGCGAACATTTCCCATCGTATATATATAAAAAGTCACGTGGACTTAATAGTGAATAGTTGAGTTGCTTATTTCGAAAGTGACGTGGATCAATATTGGAACACGATGAATTTTAAATATTATATTATATTATGTAGGGATAAATCGATGCGATTTACTTATTTTACGTGATTCCGTCAATTTTTTTTTCACATCACTTCCGAAATAACTCCGATCATAATGGGATGAATTAAAAATACATATTCTAGAAAACATGTGTTTGCTCCGTCAATTGACTTTAAGAGACCACCGTTTCTGCAGATCGGCGTCAATCAGGCGCGACTGGAATCGTTAAATTAAATGAACAGTCGACCGCAAGCTGAACGAAACATCTGACTGTCAAAAGTCGTTACTTCATTCTCGCGGTTACAGAACGGCCGAGCAATAGCGCAGTTGATAGAAATCGCGGTCGCTATGACATAATTCATCGCAGATAGATTCTCATTGAGACGCGATTATTGGATTACGTTGAAAGAAGTACGATACGTATAGACTATGTTTGCAATTGTGCACTGTGTGTCAGTACGTCGTTACGTATCACCTTTGCATATTCTTAATTTTTTAAGATGAGCGCGAGATTCCATGAGAGATCCATTTGACTTTCGAGAAATAATAAAGCGAAGTTTGGATTCGTGATATAATTTGAAAGTAACCGCAAGTCTTAGGCCGCGTTGAATAAACTCGGATATTGCCATAATTAACGAAGTCTGTTCAACGATTCTTTGTTTTTTTTCTGAATTATAATAAAAAATACAGTAACGTAGTTACAAAGGAAGAATTAATCATTCTAAGCACTGAACGATATCAGTGTTATCAGGATTCGCAGTATTTAATAGATAATAATCTAAGCAATTGATAAATATATCTGAGGCATCATGAAGAGATCTTCTCTTAATTCTTGATCGTGGAAACATTGAGCGTTTTTTGAATTGTTCAACTTTTTCTCCTTCACATCTTGCACATCTTGCTATACGTATACATTATGCATCTCATAACGACAAGAGCAAACAATTGTCGTATGATCGTATTATTTCGCAGTCCACAGACATGATCGCTCTTCGCAATTGACAACGGTGTATGTCGATTCTCCATTCGTAAAATCTGCGTATTCATTGGTCTCTATTTTCAACACTCTAATCTCACCTGGAACAAAAAGAAATTCGTTCGAGAGACTAGCTCTTCTTACAAATTTAAAAGTATTCTGCGTATTTAATTAAAGATTTTATTATTATAATTTTTTTACACAATCGAGTATAATTAGTATAATTACAAAATAAAAATGAATAATTAACTCGTAACAGAAACATTTTTTGTTCCCACTAAAAGAATATGTGGGAACCACTGAAATTTTATTTTGTTGAATTTTTGAAATTGAATTATGTGTTTTTAAGTTCCATCAATATAAGATTGATTTCAATCCTAATTCAATTTACTCTAATCTTTGTCTTTTTCTAGCGTTAGCATTTTCTAATTCCAAAAATTCTAAGAATTCTTAGAATTAGAAAAAATCAAAACGGTAAGTTGAATCAAGATTAAAGTTAATTTTATATTGATAAAACTGGGTCTTAATCTATGATATATGATTATTTGTAAATAAAATAGTAGTAGAATTTATCACTCCTAATTTAAATATAAATACACATTGGAAATTTTTTTCAGAAAATATTGTCTTTTAAAATTATTCTTAAAATCACCAAAATCTAAATATTCTAGTTACGGGTAAAATAAAATACGAAATACTTGTAACATGAAATAAATGATTAATCAATTTTATTGATTTCGAAAAGAAATGTATTAAATAAAGATTTATAATAATCGCACAAAATGCAAGAGATCCGGGTTCGACTCTCGACCGAGGTAATATTTTTCCCAATAACATTAATTATTTACAGATTTTAATATGTTGTTCAACATTATTAAGATCGTTTCAAAGATGCGAATAAGCATAAAAAATTTGTTAAATTGCTAGTCAATTTAACTCGTGATATTACTGCAGTAGTTTAGTAGAGTTAGCGTTTTCAAGATCGAAAAATCATTTCAGCGAGCGTTTTTGGGAATTACATACGTATATAAATTTAGTATATAAATTTACACAAGAATCATATAAACATTTAAGATCCAGCTAGATGTTTAAGATTTTGATTTTTATAGTTTGTGTTATCACACATATACGGTCCTATAATATATTATATTGTATATACAATAATGTTTTTTTATTGCAAGTTAACATTGGTTATCCATGTTTCAAGGCGTGGATGCAACCAGAAGGATTCACGAGTATTCTTACCTCGCGTATGGTGGTGGCGGTGTTAGCGTTGGTGAGACGATACTGATAGTCGTCGGAATAATTTGTCCTGAGGATAATGGAGGCGTGCTGCCATTGCTCAACCTGATTAATTGACTAGGATTTAGCTTGATAGCATCATCGTAGCTCGGTGGTGCATCCGTCACCGCTTCGTAATCCGGTGGTTTCTGCCTCGACACGCCAGGCGGTTCCTCGATGGAAATCACGTGGATCGGGTCATCGATCTTTAAAAGGAGAAGATCGGTTGAGTTACTTCAGCGTATCATAGAATTCAATTGCATAACTTTGCATTGCATAGCTTCATTGCTTATTTTCGCATTTGAATGTTTCTTACTTAACTTTAAGAATTTATGTCAATTATTTTAATCTTAATCGTTTATTATTGGATTTTTAGAAGCATTCGTTATAATAATTGCGTTCTAGATTTTAATTGAATCTTACTTTGATTGTTATTCAAGGAAAACTGTCTTCTTCTAATTTAAGAACTGATGCGCACATGTTGATATATAATTTAATGTATACAATTAGCTTCGGAAATTTTATAAAGTAATTGAGATGAAAATATTCTGTAGATGTTGTTATTGTCTTTTCCATACATAGTTTCAGAAATTATAAAAGAAATACTTTAATTAAGTAATTCACCCAAGCAGAACAACAAATCATAATTGACTACAAAATGACCATTAAAAGTCATTTTTCAATCATTTCCGATTCATTTTAATGTTATTTTGACGTTATCACTTGTTGTTCTGCTTAAGAAATTTCTTAGTTTAATTTTATGGTTTATAAAGCAATTATAATTGAAATTCCCCAATGATAGCGAACGAATACATTTATTTAAAGAAAAATATGTTGCACAGTTAATCATCGTGGAAATACACCGTCGTCGGAGTCTATTTAAAGTATCCAGATCGCGACCCGCCAGTGCCGGCCTCATAGTTTCCGCGATATTCTACTTGCCGCATTATAAGGATATTCACCCGGAAGTGCACATCGCGCTATATTCGTCGTAGGTCGTCTATAGATATCTATGTACTAGCTCTCTCGGTATTCTTCGAAAGTATTGATGACAGATAGCTGGCTGAATGTAAGTCGCGAAAGGGCGCACGCGAGATACGTATAGGGTGACGTATAATACGAGACGTGAGCGCGCGCGCGGTCGACGAGAATAGCCGTGGCTATTTACGGTGGTAAAAAAAAGCTTCGCTGGAAAATTGCATAATGATCAGTCTAAATGGAAACGGCGAGATGAACGGCTATGACCCCAAGATCCCCTCTTTTGCGACAGCACGAAATTCTATTCTGCTAAAATGTACTTGATTATCTCTGAACTGTAGGCGCGAATGTGACCTCGAAAATTCGAAGAAACAACATTCCACGCTGTTTATATTTGGACATATCAGACATGAAGATGACGTTTCTCTGCCGATACGTCACCTCAATGTATAAATACATCGAGTCATGATAATCGAATCGCGAGAAAATAATGTTGGATGATATAATTGAGGTCATTGTAGCATGTCTGCGTCTCACGTAAGAGATGGACAAAATTAATTTCGTTGCAAATATTTTATCCAATAATCAATTGAACTGTGTCGAGCAATTAATAATTTTCAAATTTACGCGAAAAATTTTCAAATACATTTGATGCCATTGTGGTCATTATATGATTGTTAAAAAATCAATTGACTTGCAATTAAAGTACGTCAAGCAATCAATAATTTCCTTAAATTTACATGAAGAATTTCTCAATTTATTGACGTCACTCACCGTTGAAAGAGCAGAAAATTGCAATTGCATCACGTTTTTCAATGATCAAATTTAAATAAAACATTTTTCTAATATCACATTTCCTTTTCCAAAAGCAATGTCATGATAAGTCGTTGTCTCAGAGGTTATCAAGCTTACACGAGAAAATTAATTACGCATGATTTAAATAAATTTCTAAGGATCGAATGATATTGCTGTGATACGGAGAAACGATTTTCTCGATTTGGGAAACACTCGACTTAATAATTAGTAAGAATAGATAGAATTGCGTGGTAATGCCATGAATAAAATCGAGACAATGTAATAATTCGATGCCTTGTACGTTCCTCAATATACAACCAAGAAGTAAACATGTGTTAAGATTTAATTTAAAGTTGCGTAATTGACAGCAAATATTTTTTATAATACGCGATGCAGCGTTTCGATATGAAATTTATTTTAGATTGTCAATTTAATCTTCCGTCTGAGCTTTTTTTTGGCACAAATAAAATTTTGTTTTTAAATTTCATCCTCCATTTTTCCCCTCAAATTTTAACTTTTATTAATTAAAGGTTTTATCATTTGATTTAAAAAATTATTTGATAATGTAATGCAGATATTGAAATAACCTTGAATTTTTTCACATTTTTTGAAAATCTAGTAGAATAGTAAAAAATTTGGATTGAACAAAAAAGGCTCAGATTGCAAAAGAAAGAAATAAAAATATAATTGTAGACAAAATTTTATGAATTTTAACCAAATTTATACAATATATATGTCCAAGGACAAATAATGATAAATATAGCTTGATACATGTTTCCGGGTGAATATCCTTCTAGTAGCAATCGACATTAGAGACTCTACCACGACCTCCTTTGCCGACGTGCACTATATCTTTTTTGCATATACAATGTAACGAAGCATAAAGAACGGACAGGCAAACATTTGAAAATGGACAGGTCGTTTATTTTACATAGAGAATATTCGCCGATAATTCCACAGAAAAAAAATGTCTTACAGATTTAAAATACTGGCTAGAAAAGTAAGAAGGAGGGAAGAAAACTAAAATATATATTTCATAATAAAAGAGAGAAAAACAAAAATTTATAATATACGATCCAATTATATCTTATTAGGTAAATATTAATTATTGTCAATATTAGATATTATTGTGTTTGTACTAAAAGAATGCTAATGGGCTGACTATACAATACTTTCAAATTGTCTCTTACGATGTGTTAAAATTGTTTCTAATAATAATAGATAAATGCTGATTAGGTGCGCTGATAACAATACATTGAATAGATATCGTAATAGAAAAAAAAAGAGTATGAATCATCAGTTATATATACTGACAATAACACTAATCTCTTACAAAGGAGGATATTACTGGTTTCAAGGAAAATCAAAGGTATCCGTGGAATCGTTAGTAATATTTTCGTCATTCGAAATCGAAAGGAGGAAATGATAATAACATGATGCAATCGTGACTTCACGCCATTCCATAGATGACACGAGTCTTACAAGTCTCGCGATCAAAGCGCTTCTGTCGCTTGAAATTTTTACAATGTCCGCAAACATCCAGACACATGTTTTACCTGGAAACATACGACGAACACAGAGCGTGTTTACCCAACATTTAAATGATTTATAAACACCATTTAATGATGTATTATCTGATATATGAAAGTGTGTACTCTTTTTATCTTTATGTTTTCTTTTTTTTCATATCTCTCGTTCTCGCTAGGTACCGTTCGACAGAGGAAAAAAATATGAAATATAGATCGTAGGTATATTATTAAGCTTTTTCTTATTCTGTCCATCGTCACTGGTAATTGCGGCTTACTGCTAGGCTACGGTATATCTATAGATAATACGCGTTCTTTGTGGTCTATAATAGGGGGTTGACCCGAATCGATCTAAAAACGTTTTAATCTCAGGGGCCTTCAACCGCACCGACGGCAGCGACCTGCATCTTTTCATATCTGGCCTAAAGAGATTTATTATGTATGATAGACATTTATTATCACAATAGTAGCGATGTAAGAATGTCTGGCGAAATTATGTTAGTATAAATATCCGAAATGTGTGTCTTATTACAAAATATAATTTGCATTAAGAATAAAATTAATGTAATTAATAAAGAAATAATTAATAAATAACAACAAATAAAGATAAGACTAAAGATATTTATATGTAAGATATACATTTATATATAAGAAATATAATATTAAAATTTTAGAACTTTTAAAACTTTGAATCTAATTTAATTCTTTTTTTAATGGCACAAATATGTTACGTAAGAAAATAGATAACACTTAGATATTTCAATAATTTTATAATATTTAATAATATAATTTAATATTATTAAGATTAAACATGGTTCAAGAAGTGAATTTAATTAGAAAAGAAATTTAGAATATTTAAATTACAATGTACTATTGTTACATTTTTTGTTATCTTTTTTTAATTTTTATAAGCTTAATAATTGTAGTAAACTGTAAAACGTGTTACAACTTTTGATCGATGTTTACTCGATAGGATTACGTGACATTTGTAGAATATAAGGAGCTAATAATAATAATTGTTGCTCGCATTTTAAAAGTGCATATGAAACACGTTTTTGTGTGATAACGATGATTAATGAAGGCAAAGTTATAAAAAAAAGTAATGATTATCAGAAAACCAGTAATATTGATTTGCGTTGACATGAGTCATAGCACCCATAATTTTAATTCCTTCTTTGAAGTTAATTCTTTCTTCCAAGTTCAATTCGAACTAAACGACAATTTTGTTTGATGGAGCAAATATATTCGCCAGATTGACAGTCTGGGAATTACCTGTGCCGTAATCGGATGGTTCGTATGTTGCGTATGCGTGCTCGTCCTAGTTGGCGGTGCGTGTAGCCAACAGCACATTGCGGCGCAAATGAGTAAAGCTCCAGCAACTATGCAGGCGACACCGACGTAACGCACTGGTTCAACATAATTCTCTGCTAAACCCAACCAGTTGATGAGAGCTCCGACGCACAACAAGACCATCCCGTATCGATACGGACGTTGTGATCTCCGTGATTCCTCCAAAGACATAGCTAAAACATGGAATGTCTTTTTAAAACATTTTAGTAGTGTATATCATCCGATAAATCGAATATAATAAAAGGTCTTTTTTTTATTCTCTCTCTCTCTCTCTCTCTCTCTCTCTCTCTCTCTCCCTTCCTTCGTCAAACTTTAAATACAATATATATGCATTTCATGTGTCAGGATCCATCTAAAAATTAATTATTTTTAAAATAATCATGAAAACATGTTAGTGCACATATTATAAGATTGAAGATAAAAAAATAATTAAGTGGATATTATATATCTTGCATCTAAAATATTAAAGATAATCGTTTTAAGAAATTTTTCTTTTTTGTTGCAGCTAAAATTACAAAATATAAAATACAGCTAAAATTACAAATACAAAATATGTATACACATTTTTTATAAACATGAATTTTTTATTTCTTGTACTTTCGAATAAAAATATTAATTTTTCAAAGTTAAATTTTTTACGATAGTTATGACAAATACTTGATTACTAATACATTAAAAAATTAAAGGAAAAAATTTTAAAAAATCAATTTATTTTATAGCGATTGGGTTAAAATTCATTAAATGTTTTGGAAAAATATTTGTTTACAAGTGAATCCCATTACTATCCAAAAATTTCCTTCGTGGTACTATATATTATATATATTAAAGTATTTTTAAGAATTTTTTTAGATTTTTAAAAGACATATATCTAAAAGTGGAAAATTCAGTGGAAAAACAGGAAAATTCTAAATTAATTGATATGATTATACAAATTTCGTATATTTTGTAATTTTAACTTATTATAAATATAAAAAAAAGAAAAATTTCTTAAAATGACCAGTATCTTAGATGTAAGACACTTGGGTGTCGTAACTTGTTGTTTTGACCTTCAATCTTATACTCTTATACAATATTAATATATTTCAATATCTTTATTAATAATAATAAAAAAAGATTTTTGATATTAGTAAGAAATAAACACAATAAGGGCATGTAGAGAATCTAAACTACAAATATTTTTTTATATGTTAAAAAATAAAATTCAATAAATAATAACGATTCAAATAATTAAATAAATTAAACAATGTAAAATAGAGCTAAGAACTACTATGTGAGTACAATATTATTATAAACAATCTAAAAATTCATAGACGTCTTTCGATTTCTATTGGATTATTTTCAATGTTAAAAAATAAATTAAAAAATGTTATCGGTAATTATGCAAGATGTTCAAAAATTAAAATATAAAAAATGCATGTTGTACTCGCATGTTGGCAAGAAGAATAATGGCAAGATATAGTCTGGATTCAAACTTCACATCGAAACTTGATGTTAATCGATTCCAGAAGTCATACAATAATCGTATGAAGTTTATTATACTGTGAACTTCTTCTCAAATTTACAATAGATTGATACAGTGAAATCAATATAAAATGTATACATGCTTCATTTTCTTTTTACAACTGATTAACGTTAGATCATCCAAAAAATTAAAAAAAATTGAGTACTACAGGTAATTATAAAATTTGTCGATATCAAATGGGTCTTAATACTGTAGAACTCTGAGATATAAAAAATAAAATTATTCTAATCAATTATAATTAAAATATGATGTTACATGTTATACATTTTTAATTTTAGTCCTGGACTGATTTCTTCATATTTAATTTAATCTTCTTCATATTTAATTTCTTCATATTTTATTTATTGAAAAATTCAATTTTTACATAATTTATGATTCTGTTGATTTTACTTTCTGATTATGGCTATATATTATTTATTATCACATTGACTAATGGAATTTTGACGAGTATCATATCATTGAATTGTATTAATATATTGGACATATTGGTAAGTGTTTTACCAAGGTATGTATTTGCTTGCTTTTTATTTTATTATAATTATTTTATGATAATGAAATTTATAATTTTATTAGAACATCAAGAAATTCTTTTCAATCGGTTTTCCAATCTTTTAGCGAGCAATTTCCATTCCTTTATGCAACGTTTAACTGGTCTCACGATATGTTTATAATGTATTCCATGTCTATTAATACTGTTTGATTATAACAGTGTTAATAGTGGTAACATCTTTTTTTACGTTTAGTATCTTTTACGTTTTATATCTGAGAAGAGCCTAATTGAAAAGCCGAAATATGTAATATCGTAATTTAATTTAATTGATTAGAATATAATGATTTTATTTTTTAACATATAAAAAAATATTTGTTGTTTAGTCTCTTACCTGCTCTATTATTGAATTTATTTCTTATTAACATGTTTTCATAATCATTTCAAAAATTAGAAACAGTTTATTTTTAGGTAAATCCCTGACACGTGGAATACGCTAAATATTTATTTAATTTTAAGTATAGAGGAAATCGGGATGATTGTTGTACGACGTTGATTGTTAAAATGCTTATAACTCATGTCACTACTAGCCTCGGTGGTCTAAAAGCTTAAGAAAGCAAGAGTTCCAGGTTCGAGTCCCGGCTAGAGATAATATATATTTTTCGCAATAAGAATTAATTATTTACAGGTTTTAATATGTCACTCAACATTATTAAGATCGTTCGAAGATGCGAAAAAGCAAATTATTAAATTGCTAGTCAATTTAACTCATGATATTACTGCGGTAGTTTAGTAGAGTTAGCATTTCAAAATTGAAAAATCATTTCGGCGCGCGTTTCAAAAGATTATATACATAATATATAAATTCACACAAAATCATACAAGCATTTAATCCAGCTAGATTGTTTAAGGTTGATTTCTATTTGTTATCACATATACATCATATAATATATTATATTGCTTATAACTCAATCAGCAAAAAAATCTCTTTTCTTGATAGTAAATTGCTAATATGATATTAATTTGTTGTGTAAAAGGTGTGCACCAAGAACATTGTATATAGATTGCTGAGTAAGCAATTGCCGAATTATATAATGCTATTCCTAATAAAAAATTGAATAAAAAAAAATCTTCTACTATTTTGCAATTTTCATGATAGTTAATAGTTGGGCAGCCGGACGTGCTTATTCAATATTTTGAAATTAATATTTCGTCAATCGTTGTGAAAATTACAAAATTGTATTCAATTTTTAATTAGGAATAACGCTCTAGGTGACAATCAATTTTAATATAAATGGACACATTTTTAGAGATTGTACTTACAAATATGTTATTTCATATAGATATATGTTTTTCATATACAAACACACCACATTTTTCATATAGAAACCCAATACAAAAACATATTACGTATTTTATGATGAAAATAACTATTTTATTTGTATTAATACCATAATTACTACTATTTCTTATCAGAGGTGTAGAGAGGTTGCTCGGCGAAACTGCTAAGGGCGCACCAGCAGGGGTGCCAAAATCACGATCGTAAAACGCTTTTTACCAGTGACCGTGATATCTTGCAAACGCTTTTAGTAAACTTAAACGTTTTTGTAAACTTAAATTGATAAATTATTCATTCTTCGATGAATCAAGAAAGATTGACCAATCTTGCTTTATTATCAATTGAACATAAAGCGGTCTCATAAATTAATCTGAATGATATAATTATGAATTCGCTGTAGTCAAAACGAGAAAAATGAAATTTTAACTTTTTTCAAACATATATAACTTTAAAAGTAATAAAATATTTGTACTTTCTAATATACTAATGTTTAAATGTATGGATTAGAAAACATTTTTTATCTTGCATCTCTATACTGCAGTAAATTTGTAATTATTGTAGAAAAGATTTTTCTCGAAAGGGAAAGGAGCGCCAATATATTGTATTCCCTTGCCAAGGCGTAACAAACTCTCACTAGGTTTTTGTTTCTTCTTATGTTACGTCCAATGAACTCCACGATTCCTTCGTCTCATAAACATTCGATCAATAAAAGGCACGAACAAATTCCGATAACATGAATTCGAGGAAACTTTCTCAGTCGAAAAATAATAAATATATAATAAATAAAATTTATATAGTATCAACGCAATATCAATCGGGCGTTCAATCTCTTCTCGAGCACTGTGGAAAAGAAAATCGTTGAATAATCATTATCAAATCGCGCTGTTACGCGTTGCCACCAAGATGCTAAGCAGGGTCGCGAACTGATTCCCATGATAAGAATGATATAGCGCGGATACTCGAGAGAAGGCAAAATGTTTAACCCGACTAGAATTTGTGTCAGGTTAACTTTATGTGTTATAAGGATCTGATTTGGTTGACTTAAGTTAATCTTGAATAAGGTACATCTAAGAAAATCCTCATCAGGTTTGAGTATGATTGACTTTTGTAAAGTTGTATATTATAAGGACCTGGTTTGGTTGACTTAAAATAATTCTGAATAAGGTATAACTAAGAAATTTTCGTTAGGTTTGATTGACCTCGTTTCTAGTATGCAGCTACGCCACAAGATGGACGAGTAAGAAGAAAACAAGTTCTATAAGAAGGCGTATGCAAGTCGATTTGAATAATCTCTTAGAGATTATAAAGTTCCTTCAGAATATGCCTCCTGGACTTCTGAAATATATGTTTTTTGCTTCTTTTAGAATGTGATGCTAAATTAATAGCATTTGTACAATTCCCGACTTAAAAATTTATTCAGTAAATTTATTCAGTTTTAGCAGGTCCTAGCTAGGTTGACCTTATTTCATTATCAGGTCCCAATGAGGCTATCTGGATGAGGATTCGACTACTGTGTTGCGTTACATGACTGATCAAGTCCCGAACTTACCTTATCAGGATCTGATAACGAAATAACTCGAATAACTGATAACGAAATTAACCAACTTGATTAAGATCTGCTAAATTCCTTGGATAAATTTCTAGGGAATCTTCTCATCGATATCACGCGCGTCCGATGATAATATCCCATGCAAAGGCTTAAGAAAAGATCAAATTTAATAATGACATCTTCCGATATTGGGAAACTCAACAAAATTATGACTCACACTTCTTGCTTCCCAAGGAGCACAATTAACTAAATTCAGGAATATTTGTTCATCGCTCA